ATGAGTTCCGGATCTATATCGACGCCGCATCTGGAGGCTCCCTTCTAACTAAAAATCCAACCGAAGCAAAGGAGCTGGTTGAGAAGATGTCAGCCAATGACAACTATCACCCAGGCGGCCGAAATAATGTCAAGAAAGGAGGTAAATTAGATGTTGATGCTCTAACTCTTTTAACTAGTTCTGTGCAGGCACTTTCAAGCAAGTTCGATAGACTACAAACTGGATCTTCCAATAATGTGCTAGAAACTTGTCAAATGTGTAATACTCAAGGTCACATCGCACCTAATTGCCCACGAAATTCGAATGAGGTATCAATTGAGGAAGCCAATGCCTTCTACAATTCCAACCCTAAAAGACCATACGATCCCCATTCTAATACTTATAATGAAGGTTGGAAGAATCACCCAAACTTCTCATACAAAAACACCCAAGCTCAGCAAAATCCACCTCCGCCCCCACCTCGAAACAACAATTATAATCCACCTGGTTTCCAACCAAGACCACCCCTAGTACAACAACCCATGCAACCCATGCAACCACCCCCTCAAAAATCCAATCTCGAACTAATGATGGAGAACTTCATCAACACCACAAATAATTCCATCCAACAGTTACAAGCCCAGAATAAGCTCATGGAAAATCAAATAAGCCAACTTGCTCATCAAGTCGGCCAATCTTCAAAAACACCGGGTACGTTTCCTGGCCAAACAGAGCAACCACAAAAGGGGCACATGAATGCTGTAATTTTAAGGAGTGGAAAACAGTTGGAAGGCCTTCCCGTAAGGGAACCATCAACGATAGATATTGAGGGAATGAGTGAAAAACAGGGAAATCGGCAAAGTTCTTCTTCGCCCGGTCAGACCGGGCAAGGTCCGCCCGATCGGGCGCGAGAAGCAGTCGACGAAAAACAGGGGATTTTGCAAAATTCTTCTTCGCCCGGTCAGACCGGGCAAGGTCCGCCCGATCGGGCGCGAGAAGCAGTCGACGAAAAACAGGGGAATGTGCGAATTTCTTCTTCGCCCGGTCAGACCGGGCAAAGTCCGCCCGATCGGGCGCACGAAGAAATTCCAGACAAACAAAAGAACATAAGCAGCTCTTCTTCGCCCGGTCAGACCGGGCAATCACTGCCCGACCGGGCGCGAGATCCAGACAGCCCAATTCCAAGGAATGATGTTCAAGAAAAGCCACGGGAATACATTCCAAGCGTCCCTTTTCCACAGAGGTTAGCCCAGGCTAAGTTAGAGAAAAAGTACGGTAAATTTCTAGACATCCTTAAGAAACTTCACATTAATATACCGTTCTTGGATGCAATTTCTGAAATGCCTTCTTATGCAAAGTTTTTGAAAGACATGCTATCTAACAAGAAAAAGCTTGCAGAGAATGCTACTGTTTCTCTAACTGCAGAATGTAGTGCCATTCTGCAAAACACTCTTCCTAAGAAACTAGGTGATCCAGGCAGCTATTCAATCCCAGTGAAGCTGGGAGATATAGAGATCAATAGAGCGCTATGCGATCTTGGTGCAAGTGTAAGCCTTATGCCGCTCTCCATCTGCGAAAAGCTTCAAATGGGTGAGCTAAAGCCTACAAGGATATCTCTGCAACTTGCAGACAGGTCAGTTAAATTTCCCCTCGGTATACTTGAAGATGTTCCATTGCGAGTTGGTAAATTCTTTATTCCATGTGATTTTGTTGTTATGGAAATGGAAGAAGATGCCCATGTCCCTATTATTCTTGGTAGACCATTCTTAGCTACTGCAGGTGCAATTATTGACATGAAGAATGGGAAAATAACATTTGAAGTAGGGGATGAGAAAATGGAGTATTCATTACTGAATGCTATGGGAAATCCGTCTATGGGTGAGACTATTTGTCAAGTGGATGTCCTCGATGATCTACAACAAGAACAACTTCCCCTGATCAAAAAGGAAGACGCTCTTGAAACGGTGTTGATAGGAAGTATCCATGATGAAGATTGGGAAGTAAGGGAGTACACGAGGCTACTAGAAGACGCAAAAGCTAATCCAATCATCGCTCCAGTCAAGGAAGTCCTTAGTACATCGAGTGTTGGGGAGAGTTCAACGCCTCCCGAGGTAGAGTTGAAACCCCTTCCATCTAATCTTAAATATGCATATCTTGGTCCCAAAAATACATACCCTGTTATTGTTAATGCTGAGCTTAATAACATTGAATTAGAGAAACTTCTCGCTGTTTTAAGAAAATATAGAAATGTTATTGGGTATACCATTGATGATATCAAGGGTATTAATCCCTCTTTTTGTATGCATAAGATCATTCTTGAGGACGATCATGCCTCCTCTAGAGAACCTCAAAGAAGACTAAACCCAACTATGATGGAGGTAGTCAAGAAAGAGGTTCTCAAATTGCTTGCTGCAGGAATAATCTACCCTATCTCAGATAGTAAGTGGGTTAGTCCTGTACAAGTAGTACCAAAGAAAGGAGGTATGACAGTTGTCAAGAATGACAAAGGCGAGCCTGTTGCCACAAGAACTGTTACAGGGTGGCGGATGTGCATTGATTACAGAAAATTAAATAAAGCCACCCGTAAAGATCATTTCCCCTTGCCTTTCATTGATCAAATGCTCGAACGATTGGCTAACCATTCCTTTTTCTGTTACTTGGATGGATATTCCGGTTTTTTTCAAATCCCCATCCGCCCTTGTGATCAGGAAAAGACTACATTCACATGTCCATATGGCACCTTCGCATATCGCAGAATGCCATTTGGACTGTGTAATGCCCCAGCCACGTTCCAACGGTGTATGATGGCTATTTTCTCAGGTCTCATAGAAAATTCTATGGAAGTTTTTATGGATGATTTTTCTGTTTATGGTTCATCTTTCGATATTTGTCTTGAAAATCTAACAAAGGTGCTCCATAGATGCCAGGATGTCAATCTGATATTGAACTGGGAGAAGTGCCATTTTATGGTACAACAGGGAATCGTTTTAGGCCATGTAGTTTCAAACAAAGGGATTGAGGTGGACAAAGCCAAAGTAGAGGTAATACAGAAACTTCCCCCTCCAAATTCTGTGAAAGGAGTACGAAGTTTCCTTGGCCATGCAGGTTTTTATCGCAGGTTTATCAAGGATTTTTCAAAAATTGCTAGACCCTTAACTGAACTGTTAGCTAAGGACGCCCAATTTGATTTTAATGATGCTTGTCTTGAAGCTTTTAACAGGTTGAAGGAAGCCTTAACCTCTGCTCCTGTTATACAACCCCCGGATTGGGCCCTACCCTTTGAAATCATGTGCGATGCTAGTGATTATGCGATAGGGGCCGTCCTGGGGCAACGAAAGGATAAGAAATTGCATGCTATATATTACTCTAGTAAAACTCTTAGCCCTGCTCAAATGAATTATGCAACTACTGAAAAAGAGATGCTAGCTGTCATATATGCAATAGATAAGTTTCATTCTTATTTAGTTGGGTCGAAAGTGATTATCCATACAGATCATGCGGCATTGAAATATCTGATGAGCAAGAGCAATGCCAAGCCGCGGTTGATTAGATGGATCCTCCAATTGCAGGATTATGATATAGAGATCAGAGATACGAAGGGGACAGAGAATGTCGTCGCAGACCATCTCTCTCGCCTCCTCCTTGATGAGGAGGATGAGGATAACCTCCCATTTGATGACTCTTTTCCCGTTGAGCGTTTGTTAGCTCTTTTACAGGTTGAATCTCCTTGGTATGCTGATTTAGCTAACTATCTTTCTACAGGTACAATGCCTCACGGTTACTCCTATCAACAAAGGAAGAAATTCCTTTATGAGGCACACCGACACTTTTGGGAAGACCCTTTCTTGTACAAACTATGTGCCGATGCAGTGATCAGACGGTGCATTCCCGAAAGTGAGGTAAGCAATATAATTTCTCATTGCCATGACTTACCTTGTGGTGGACATGCAGGCCCCTCGAAAACAACTGCAAAGATCCTACAATGCGGATTTTACTGGCCCACTATGTTTAAGGATGTGTACTCCTATGTCAAGGCCTGTGACCGTTGTCAACGAACGGGAAATATTTCCAAGAGGAACGAAATGCCACTCAACAACATACTCGAGGTCGAGTTGTTTGATGTGTGGGGGATAGATTTCATGGGCCCTTTCTCTTCCTCTAAGGGGAATCGATACATTTTGGTAGCCGTTGACTACGTGTCAAAATGGGTTGAGGCCATTGCTACACCAAGCAATGATGCCCGTGTGGTAAGTAAATTCTTCAAGAAAAACATTTTCAATAGATTTGGTATCCCACGTGTGTTGATTAGTGACAGGGGAACACACTTCATGGAGAGCCGATTCGAAGCAATGTTGAAGAAATATGGAGTGCAGCACAAACTTGGAATTGGCTATCACCCCCAAACCAGTGGCCAAGTAGAGGTATCAAATCGAGAGATAAAGTCCATCCTAGAGAAAACAGTTGCAAGAACGAGAAAGGATTGGGCTGACAAAATTGATGATGCACTTTGGGCTTACCGAACAGCTTACAAAACTCCAATAGGTACAACCCCGTACAGACTTGTATACGGAAAAGCTTGTCACTTACCCGTCGAGCTAGAACATCGAGCATTTTGGGCCATCAAAAGCCTGAACTTTGACGCTAAGGCCGCGGGAGAGAAGAGGCTATTGCAGTTGAATGAGCTAGATGAGCTCCGCCTCGAAGCCTATGAGAGTTCAAAGCTTTATAAGGAGAAAACAAAAAGGTGGCACGACAAGGGCCTCATAAGAAGAGAATTCAAAGAAGGAGACCAAGTCCTTCTATTCAATTCAAGGTTGAAACTATTTCCAGGGAAACTCAGGTCAAGATGGTCGGGCCCTTTCACGGTCTACAAAGCATATCCTTATGGCACCATTGAATTATGGAACAACACCGGGGGCACCTTCAAAGTCAACGGACAAAGGGTGAAGCACTATCGAGCGGGAGATCCTATTGAAGAGAAGTCAGATATCACATTCTCTTCCCCGCCACAAACTCAATGAGGATGAATACGGTCAAGCTAATGACCTTCTAAACAAGCGCTTGCGGGAGGCAACCCGATTCTTTTTTCTATTTTCCTTAATATTTTATACTTTATCTTTCAGTTTATGTCTGTGTTATGCTGTTTTACAGAGAGTATCAAGCTAAGCACGAAGTGGGATGTCAAGAGAGCAGTCAAAGATCGAGTTATCGCGTTTTTGCTCTTCGCCCGGTCAGACCGGGCAAATTCCGCCCGATCGGGCGCGAGAAACAGAGAGCCAAAAAGAAGAGTATGAAGCTAAGCTTCTCTCCGCCCGATCAGACCGGGCAAAGCCCGCCCGATCGGGCGCGAGTAGCAGAATCTGAAAAAAAAAAAAAAAAAAAAAAAAAAAAAGGAATTGAAGTCCAGTCTTCTTCGCCCGGTCAGACCGGGCAAAGAGCGCCCGATCGGGCGCGATGGAATCCTGCGGGTTTATATTAGGATTTCAGCATCTTCTCTCATTCCCATTCCTCAAACTCTCATACCCTCTACTCTTTCTCTCTCTAAAAATCCCCAATTCTAAAACCCTAACTTCATCTCCCATCCAATTTCATCAAGATTCAACAATCAAATCCCTCAAATTCACCGTACAAACCCAATTTTTTTTTTTTGCAAAATATTTCTGCAACTCCGTCCCTCCTCTTTGTTCAACCTCAAGAAAACCCCAGGCTATCTCACCACTCACATAATTTCGAGCTTTTGAAGATGTCTCAAAGGAAAAGAACGAGAAGCACACCCCAACAACAACCACAATTGGACTTGGAAAGTGTAACCGGGTACCCACACGTGGTTTTCGTTCCGGAATTCCCAAACCAAAAGCAGCGGTTCATCGAGCTCTCGCGCCGAAAGGTAATCCCTACCCGATTCTTTGACCGTTCATTGCTTTCTAAGCTAGGAATAGATTCGGAATGTAAGAATTTGTTTGCAAAATTAGGAATGTCTCAACTATTCAATATGAACTATAGAACTTATGAAGATTTAACTCTTGAATTTTTGAGCTCATTTGATATTGAAAAGGGTAGGAATGGTTTGGTGAAGTATGTTGTGTATAGGTTGCTGAATAGGTCTCATAGAATGTCCTTAGAAGGCTTTGCTAGGAAGTTTGGACTTCCTTGTACCGGCTTAACTGTGCAACCTAGTAGCTTCATTTCTGGGGAACTTTGGTTTGCTATGACTGGTGAAAACATTGAATCTTTCCAGCACGCCCTTTCACACAAAATCCACCAACCAGTCCTTAGGCTGTGGACTAGATTCACTGGGTGGACTATTTTTGGTAGAATCGAACCTAATAATGTTAGGTCGGACGAGATTTCGATCTTAGGTAGTTATTTAAGGCGTGGGGATGAGGATGGAGACTTTAAAATGAATATTGCACACTTGTTTGCCCTTCACCTTAAAAAGCAAGGCACCACTTATACGACAATTAAATCGAATGGTGAACGCTCTAACATTCCTATCGTCCTAGGAGGCCTTGTCACTCACCTAGCACTTCGGGAAGGCTTTGATGAAGCCAGCCGATGCCCAGTGCCTGGCCCCATTACCTTAGATCAGCATTATCTCACTACTGCGGGTTGGTTATCCATAGATTTTAATAGATTTAGTTGGATCATAGGGAGAACCAACAGGCTTTCTGTGCCTTTACCTTCCCCTGACCTAACTAAGATTATGCCTCACCAGCCCTCCTACCTTCTCCAGTTCCCTAGTGATTCGTCTACCCCTGTACCAGCTGCCCCCACTAGGACCTATTTTAGGAGAGAGTCTGCTGGACCCTCTACCTCCTCCCTTGCTCCGCCTCCTCCTAGCGATCACGAGGCCATTATGGCCGGTATTAGGGAGCTTAGGGTAGGTCAGCTGGACCTTTCTACCCGAGTCCAGACCATAGAGACTAACCTTCGGGAGCTTAACGCAGGCCAGCAGGATTTTCGCTTGTCTATGTATCCTGTTTATGACTACTTCTGCAGGCAAGGGTATATCCCGAGGGATGGTCCCCATCCTTCTTGGTATCACTTTCCCGGTGCGGGAGATATGGCAGGTGGCAGTGGCACAGCTGGTGTCGAGGATGATGGTGTTGATGATGATGATGTTGATGATGATGATGTTGATGATGATGATGTTGGTGGTGATGATGATGGCCCCTCCGCTTCCTTTTGAGGAGCCGTCGAGTTTCCTATGCTCTCCTTAAGCTGCAATGAGGCCATTGCCGCGTTTAGCTTGGGGGAGTTACTTCGTACATGTTGGTATTCTCTCTCCTTATCTCTCTTATCTTTCTTGTTTTATTTTAGTGTAGTTATTTTAGTTGTTTTCTTCTTAAAAAAAAAAAAAAAATACAAAAATACGATCCAATGAATAATAAATCATGCTTCCCTGTGCCCCATTCATGAAAATTGTTTTAATTCTTGGTATATGATGACGAGTATTGTGGATAGGTTAGCCATGATTTGATGTTTGATTGCTTGGATGTCTTACCATGAGTCAATTTTGCCCAACTACTTGTGAATATAGTGCTTGACTAGTTGATTTGGTTAGGAATGTGTGTTAGTTCCTGGTATGTCAATGAAGTTGAGTATTGGTTTATAACTTTGAGTAATGTTTGCATGACTCATTAATATGCACATTGAGGAGGACGAAGGCATTTGTTCCTCTAGGTGGCCTTCAGACGATATTAGATACATTTGTTCCCTTCTTGCTACCCATGTTGTTGCTTGTGCCCTTTTATTGTTTATTTTGCCACATTACAAGCCTATTTAAGCCCCATTGGTTACTAGTCCCAAGCTTAGCTTGGGGGAGCTAATAGTGAGTGAGGCGAGGGAGTTGTAGTGTGCATGTAATTTGCACAATTTTGGGTGGATTTGAGAAGTTTCTTATTTGTTCTTATTGTTGTGGATTGAAAAAAAAGAAAAAAAAATTGAAAATTTATTGTGCAAAGAAAAAAAAAAATTCCAATGTGAGAGAAAAGAAAAAGAAAGAGCAAAGGAAAAAAAATTGTTTCAATGTTCAAGTGTTCTAATTGAAGGCTGCTCAAGAAAAAAAAAAGAGAGTTCAAAGTTTGTTTGTTTACTCAAGTTCTATAATTTTATATTTTGTATATATGAGTGAAATTTTAAGTGTTGGAAATTTTTAATATAATTGGGATGTTTGGTGAATTTTTGGTAGAGCTGAGTTGTGTTGGAGATGATTTGGTCATTAATTTGTTTTGACCTTGGTTTTATTTATTAGGATTTTGGCTCCCTTAAGCATAGCTTTACTCTTACATTTTCCCAAATATTTCCCACCTTTTACCCTAGCCTTACATTACAAGCTTTGAAGACCTTCTGACCTTTGTGCATAGAGTTGTGTGAATGTGAAATTAGTTGTTTTCCAATGCAAAGAATGATTTGATATATTTCGAGTCGACTGCTAGGTTGAGTGCTTGTTTTCTTAAAACACACGAGTGCGTGAGCTTGGGAGGGCATTGTTCACATTTAAAGGAGTTGGATGGAGAGCGACCGAGTATATCTTTTACTCGCCACATAAATGAGAGTTGAGTGTGTGAACACTAGTCTTGAATTCTATATGCTCTTGTGGTTTGCTCTATTTGACCATTGTCAGACAGGATGAGTAGTTAGATGGATTTGATTGGTTGACTTTGATGCATAACTGTCGAGTTTACCTTTAATCGTATTTATTGATTTGAGTTACTTTTGGGGTGAAGTATTGATTTATTTATTCATTGCTTTGCTTAGGGACAAGCAAAGGTTTAGCTTGGGGGAATTTGATATACGTGTTTTATACAATGGTTTTCCCCGGTTTGATTGCATGATTTTACATGGTTTTGAGCTCTACGGAGCTATTTCTTGCTAACAATCTCTTCTTTAGTGTATTCGATTGTTTTAGTAAGCTTTTCAGGAATATGAAGCGTTTCTAGGCAATTGGACGTGTTTTTAGTAGATTCGGAAGAGTTGATAGCCAAGAACTGCAATTTATGTGGAATGCCCGACCGGGCATGGCTTGCCCGGGCAGACCGGGCAATGAGGAGTTCACAGGAAGAAGCCCAATTCTGAACGGTGCAACGCGCGCCCGATCGGGCAGGCTTCGCCCGGTCAGACCGGGCGATGAAGAAATCAAGTTATGAGATGCAATTTTGGAAACGTGTTACGCGCGCCCGATCGGGCGAGGTCCGCCCGGTCAGACCGGGCAAAGCTCAAGAACGCGTATTTTCTTATTTTTCCGAAATATTATCTTTTGGGGGTATAAATACCCTTTTGTAATTAACTTTTAGACAGTTTAGTTTTTCATTAGTTTTCTCCTTAAGCCCTAGAAAACTCTCAAGAACCCCAGTTTTATTTTCTTAAGCAATTTCAATCTTTAATCCTAGTTTTATTAATTGTTCCTCAAGAATTCAAGATCATCAATTGAAGTATTTGGTATTTCTTACTTTCCATCTCTTTTATTTATTTTATAGTTCTTTAATTATGTGTTCTCTATTAGATCTTGTTTTTGATTTAATTATGATTTGTGAGTAGTTTCCTTAATCCGGGATCTTGCTAAGCCCGATTATGATTGATGTATAAAGTAGATCTTTAAATTCCCCAATAATAATCCCAATTGACATGCTTAATTGATTGTGTTTATGCCAATACTAGATTAGGGATAATTAGTATTGTTATCATCCCTTTGTTCTTATTGCAACGGAAGTTGGGTATTAACGGGATTAGGTTATTTCAATTAAGGGTTTGAAGATCATCACGGAAGTAGATGATTGAATAATTAGGAATCTAGGCATGGTGTTTAATGTCCCTTATTCGCTTGATTCCACGGAAGTAGGCTTGATAGTTAATTTGGGAAGCCATTGATAACTCGGAAGAGACCTTTGGTATTATTATTAGGGATTGCTTTTCTTCTTGTCAATTGATTTATATATTGGGGGTAGATTTATTAGTTTATCAATCATAATCGTGGTAATGCTTGATCTTGGATGCTTTAGTTTATTGATTAATATTTCCTCTAGTTAATTGTGTTATTTAATATATTAGTTGATTATTATCATCCATTATTGATTGGTCACGTGCTTAGTGATTAATTGAGTCTGATTAATTGAATGAACCATAGTCTCTTGGGATTCGATCCTTACTTGCCCTACTACACAGTTAGAAGGAATAGTTAGGTTATTTTTGTTAGGTACGCGATAAGCCTATCAACACTATACTAATAATATGCTCTATGTATAATAAAAAAGATAGCAAAACAAAAAGATGTTTCACTATCCCCCCAAATCCATCTTAAAAGGCATCTGCAAGTCCACGGAACCAATTTGATATTCCTTCGCAAAGCAAATAGTACATTACACAAAATGAATTAGCAACAAAGCTCCAAGCAATCCAACTTCAGAAAAACTCTCATCTATCCATCAGCTCAAACTCGTAATCTAACAGCTTTTACAACTAAGTCCCTAGAGTCAAGGAAAAATTAAAGGTCTAAACAGCAACCTAAATTTTGTAGATGCATTTCAATAATTTCTTTCAGAGTGGTCAATCCTACCATAATCTTATGGATGGGTACAATATCAAAGTTGAACTCAAGCATGCTAACTTAGCCTCTATTAGCACTCCCAGGGTGCTTATAATACACTTGGGTGTACCATGACATGTGCCACGGACTCACGGTACACCAACACTCAATTTTTGCTCATTTGATCATTTTTATAAGCTAAAGCTCTCCCAAATAGGCAACAAAATCCTTCTTTGTACAGTACACTACACCCCAGTGTATAACGGAAATTGCGTAGCAAGCCCGAGATGGGTTAGAAACTAGACAAGGTTCCATAAAAAGTACACTAAATAATAAAAAAAATGTTGACACTTCAAGATAGGATCTGTGACCAACAGTTCAGCATAATCTAGGCTTCAAGAGCATAAAAGCATAGTCAAATCAAAAAATCCCAACATAAATCCCAGCTTAGTGATAATAAAAAAAAGCATGCAATAAAATATTCTCAACACGTTAAGCGTTATAAACAATAAAAGTAAACAACATTTACTAGCAACAATTTACACCAACCCCCAGATAAATAAACAAGAAATTGCTGCTCAACAGCAACTAAAATACTCAGAAATTCTTAACACCCAGATCACCAAAACAGTAGCAGAATCAATTAAAATCCATTTAAACAGAGAAAATGAAAGCTAAAATTCCACAAATTATAGAACATTAATTGATAATTAGGGAGACAAAGATAAAGTTTATACCTTTAAGTTTAAGATGCTGAGTTGAAGAATTAGAGGAATCTAAAAAGGAGATAGCTCTTATCTCTGCTGTTGACAGGAAGTTTAGAGCCATTGGAGCTCTGCTTCAAACTGTACACCCAGAAAGAAAAAAAAATTATTGGACAAAATTATTATTTTATTTTACAATTTTTCTGTAATGGGGTAATGCAATAATGCCCCTTTTAATTGAATTTATATTGGTGAAAATTTACCAAAAAGGGAAGAAATTTGATAGAATAACGTTGATGGGGCGGTGTTTTTAAATAGGGAAAATAGGAAGGATTGGCCTTGGATAAGAGTACAATTGTGGCCCAGCAAAAACCCAAGATTAAACCCAAAAATTGGGGAAAATAATTTACAAACAAACAAATTTGAGATTAGTGGACGACTGGACGGGATTATATATGTTTCTAGCTGTGAGATTGTACTCATAACATGTACTCCCTCTATCTCTTTAAGATTGTCCTACTCGTAATATATTTATAATTTGTACTTTAAATTTATGATGTCATAAATGATTTTTAAGGGATTGTGAATTCGTGATCTTACTTTCATATACATGTAGTTTTGGTCATATTAAATTTGTTTACCACGGATTTCATCCTATCAAAACTTAAATTTTTTAACCATGTTCTAATTAAGCAATTTATAAAATACAAGTTTAATTATCACCTTAAGAAATCAAAAAGGCAAATTAAGTGACAATTACAAAAATCAACAAGTTTTCGTGAAATATAGGTCCACTTTTGTTGATTTTGTTACGAAAATATCGTGCTTATTGGATAATTTTACAGAAGTATTTTGTTCATTAAGGTGATAAATCGGGGCATCGAATCTCTGGACAATCTTATAGGAATGGAGTTATAGGAGTAGCTACTAGAATAACTTATAAGTACTACTAGTATGTGGCTGCACTCTTTTAATGCATGATTAATGATAACTAATCATTTTTGTTCTACTCATTTTTGTTAAAAAATTATACTCCATATAAAAAAAATGAGGAAATACAAAATTAGGTTACAATTAAAGATGTTAAAAA